AGGTCATCGCAGAGTGCGGCCGCGAGCGCGCCGGAAAAGGCCGTCGCGGAGACCTGCCGGGGTCGGCCTCCTCCTCCTCCTCCTCCTCCTCCTCCTCCTCCTCCTCCACCTCCTCCTCCTCCTCCTCCACCCCCCCCTCCTCCTCCTCCTCCTCCTCCTCCTCCTCCTCCAACCCCCTCCTCCTCCTCCTCCTCCTCCTCCTCCTCCTCCTCCTCCTCCTCCTCCCCTCCTCCTCCCCTCCAGCGCCGCCGGAGGGGGGTGCTGGCGAGGGGGGGGGTGGAGCTCACGGCGGGGGCCATGATATCTTCCAGATTTTCTCACGGCGTTTCCTATTATTTCAGTAGTACGTCCCTGCCCCCCCCCCCTGGGTTGCGCACATGCCAGCGGCCATGGTTTGCGCCCCCCCCTCTTGGACGCCCCCCTCGTGGCCGCCTCTGGACCTGCGGTGCCCGCGCACTTGTGCGCGTATGTCGCGCGATGTGTTGTAGTTTTGATCGTGTTGCCCTCTGCCGCCAGCCCCCCCTCCCCTCCGCCGATCCGCGTCAGAGGAGTGTTGGCCTCCTGGGGGTTACTTACCTGGGGTCTTCTATGGGGTCATCTTGCCCTCGCTTGAAGGTATAGTCAGGAGGGAAAGAAACACACAGACAATTAATCGTGGACTCCTCGTCCCTGGGCCCCTCCATATAGGGCTTCACCATGATGACGAGGTGTCCTGAAGGCAAGGCGTCGGGGGGTTCTTCATTCAGCGGCGAGCGGGGAGGGGGGGATGCGAGACGGAGAGGGCCTCCACACAGAAGGCTCGGAAGCCCCCCCAGCCCTCCGGGCATTCTCCCGAGCCTCCCCCGGAGACACCACGGGCCTCTCAGAAGGCGCGGGGGCTTGGAGAAGCCCCGCCGCCTTCTGAGCAGGCCTTCTCCTTCTCGCTTCCCCCCCGCTTCTCCCTCGCCCGCCGCCGAGGTTCGGCCCCTCGGGCCCTTCCCACGCTCGGGGACAGGCGGAAGCTCCGCAGGACGAAGAGCCTGCTCCAGGGGAGGCCCCGCGGCCTCGTGGTGCGCTTCCCTCGGGGTCCTGCTTTTCTGTCGCTGCGGCGGCTCACCCCGGGCTGGGGGAAGCGGAAGACGGAGGGGGAGGGAGGGGGGGGGGGAGCCAGGAACTTGGGAAGGGTATGCTTCGGTAGCAGACCGTGGGAGCCTGGTGTACCCTCCGAATGCCGTCTTCGGCCTCGATTCGCGCCGATTGCCGTCTGGGAGTCGACGAGATAGCTCCGATTTAGCGTCGGCTAGCGTCGGCTAGCGTCGGCTAGCGTCGATTAGCGTCGACTCGCGTCGATTAACGTCGACAAGCGTCGGCTAGCGTTGATTCGCAAGAGCCGACAGGATGGTATGGGAGGTTCCCATGGGTTGCCACCGAAGTATTTCGGTCATTCTGTTCCTTTGTCGATCCATCATGGGGCATCCAGGACACATGACGGGGCTTCTATTGGCCATCTTGGGCGGGCGATCTTGGGCAACTCTTGGGGCCTCAGGGCACCTTTGGAGGCACCGGGGAGGCGATCTACGGCGATCCATGAGGCACCCTGGGAACTCTTTGCGATCTGGGAGGCCCCTTGGGAAAGTTGGGTCCATCTCGGGGCGATTTTGGGGCCTCAAGGGGGGGGGGTCTCTTGGGGTTGGGGGCAGTATTGGGCGATCTCTGGGGCGTCGTGGGTCCTCTGGGGCCGCCCTCGTGGCTCTCCTGAGCAATCCTGCGGCTCTGGAAGCTGTCTTTGGACCATTGTGACTTGGGTGCAGCACTGGTGACAGCCAATAAGGGTTGACGTCAGCAATCTGTGTTTCATGTTCGTGCTTCTTGTTGGACACCGCGGGCCATCTGGAATACCACCTGGGGCGTATCGGACGCACCATTGGGCCTTCTCGAAGCATCGTGAGGCATGTCGGAGTCTTAGGGAAGCATCGTCGAGTGAGACAGCGATGAGGAAGCACGGCCAGTGGGCCAGATGACCTGAGCACGTGGCGGGTGACTCGGGCATTCGACTAGGGGAGAGGCACACGCTCTGTTTCGGGCGCTTGGTAGCTGCGCTTTCTGTCGCAACAATTACCGCTTACCGTGCAGGCGCAGAGTTAACACACCATCTCTCCGTCGACACACGCTTGCGAACACAGGCGGTAGACATTGGACGACGTAGATGAATGTGCACATTCCGATTCCTTCTCCTTCTTTGACCGCTTCGCTCATCCCGCAGGCCCTGGAGCGCTCCTTGGTAGTCGATGGCGCCCCCCCCCCCACCGGAGGCCACGATCCTCGTGCGGGGTGTCGAAAGATGGATGTCGGGTGTGGACAGACCTCCTGCCCTGACACGTCGATTAAGGAATTGGCCGTTTTCGGTTCGCGAGAGGGCGTCGCGGCCGTCAGTTTGGCGGGTCCAGGTCCGTCGGTTTCGGTCCCAGGCCGTTTTCACTAAGGGGAGGTTTACTAAAGGGAGGTTTGTCCACCGCCGAAGATGGCCCTCCCCTGGGGCACTCCCTGGGGGAAGCGCCCGGGAGCGGGCCGGGCGTGGCCCAGGAGTGGAGCGGGACCTATAGCCAGGGAAGTGTTTTTCGCCCAGGGGCCTCGAGTCGGGCGAAGTGCACTATGCACGTGCACCGATCCCGACAACGCCCATCCTTGGCCCAGGATCCGTGCATGTACCTTCCTGGCCAAGGTAAGAGGGCGTATGCACCGATCCTGGGCTCAGGATGGTCCTGGCCAGAATCGGTGCATGTGCATAGTTCTCTTTCCCCTGTTCGAGGGGCCGCCCCGCGCGCGCGAACTGCAGATATTCTTAACCAGTTACCGGAGATCTTGGCACGCCTCTGGCCCGTCGGTCCGGCGAATGACATGACACGGGAACGACCCCCCGCATGGGCATCACCTAATTCCGGGGTCTCCGGGAGCACTGGCGGAGGCCCCGAAAGAGCCCTCCAGAGGATTTCCTGGACCTTTCCAGGAGCGCCCGGACAGCCCAAGGCAGTCCAAGAGGGCCGCCGAGACGGTTCAAGAACGGCCGAAGACGCTTCAGATTCGGAGGTTGATAGACCTCCAACCCTGACACGTCGATTAGCGAATTGGCCGTTTTCGGTTCGCGAGAGGGCGTCGCGGCCGTCATTTTTGCGGGTCCAAGTCCGTCGGTTTCGGTCCCAGGCCGTTTTCACTAAGGGGAGGTTTACTGAAAGGAGGGTTGTCCACCGCCGACAGATAGCCTCCAGACGGCCCAAGAGGTTCCCAAAACGCTCCAGGTGGGCTCCAAGAATGGCTCCAAGAGAGCCCGCACAAGGAAACAATCGCCCCAAACCCTGAGGAAAACGTGCATTTTTACCATTCCCATGCTTTTCGTTTTCAAAGCGTCCAAGAGCACCATGACGCCTCAGGAGGCCCCCATGAGGGCCCCAAGACGGCCCCAAGACACCTCCTGAGGCGCCCATGACGGCCCAAAGGCACCCAG